TATGGGAAATCCTCTAAGTGTTCCAGTCGGCGGAGCGACTCTAGGACGTATTTTCAACGTACTTGGGGAACCTGTTGATAATTTAGGCCCTGTTGATACCCGCACAACATCTCCTATCCATAAATCCGCGCCTGCTTTTATACAATTAGATACAAAATTATCTATTTTTGAAACAGGAATTAAAGTAGTAGATCTTTTGGCCCCTTATCGTCGTGGGGGAAAAATAGGACTATTCGGTGGGGCTGGCGTGGGTAAAACAGTACTAATTATGGAATTGATCAACAATATTGCCAAAGCTCATGGTGGTGTATCCGTATTTGGTGGAGTAGGCGAACGGACTCGTGAAGGAAATGATCTTTACATGGAAATGAAAGAATCTGGAGTAATTAATGAACAAAATCTTGCGGAATCAAAAGTAGCTCTAGTCTACGGTCAGATGAATGAACCGCCGGGAGCTCGTATGAGAGTTGGTCTGACTGCCTTAACTATGGCAGAATATTTCCGAGATGTTAATGAGCAAGACGTACTTCTATTTATCGACAATATCTTCCGTTTCGTACAAGCAGGATCCGAGGTATCCGCCTTATTGGGTAGAATGCCTTCGGCTGTGGGTTATCAACCCACCCTTAGTACCGAAATGGGTTCTTTACAAGAAAGAATTACTTCTACGAAAAAAGGGTCCATAACCTCTATTCAAGCAGTTTATGTACCTGCGGACGATTTGACTGACCCCGCTCCTGCCACCACATTTGCACATTTAGACGCGACTACCGTACTATCAAGAGGATTAGCTGCCAAAGGTATCTATCCAGCAGTAGATCCTTTAGATTCAACGTCAACTATGCTACAACCTCGAATCGTTGGCGAGGAACATTATGAAACTGCGCAACAAGTCAAGCAAACTTTACAACGTTACAAGGAGCTTCAGGACATTATAGCTATCCTGGGGTTGGACGAATTATCCGAAGAGGATCGCTTAACCGTAGCAAGAGCACGAAAAATTGAGCGTTTCTTATCACAACCCTTTTTCGTAGCAGAAGTATTTACAGGTTCTCCGGGAAAATATGTTGGTCTAGCGGAAACAATTAGAGGGTTTAAACTGATCCTTTCCGGAGAATTTGATTCTCTTCCCGAACAGGCCTTTTACTTAGTGGGTAACATCGATGAAGCTACTGCGAAGGCTACGAACTTAGAAATGGAGAGTAAATTGAAGAAATGACCTTAAATCTTTGTGTACTGACTCCGAATCGAATTGTTTGGGATTCAGAAGTAAAAGAAATTATTTTATCTACTAATAGTGGGCAAATTGGCGTATTACCAAATCATGCGCCGATTGCCACAGCTGTTGATATAGGTATTTTGAAAATACGCCTTAATAACCAATGGTTAACGATGGCTCTGATGGGCGGTTTTGCTAGAATAGGCAATAATGAAATCACTATTTTAGTAAATGATGCAGAGAAGAATAGTGACATTGATCCACAAGAAGCTCAGCAAACTCTTGAAATAGCAGAAGCTAACTTGAGAAAAGCTGAAGGCAAGAGACAAACAATTGAGGCAAATCTAGCTCTCAGACGAGCTCGTACACGAGTCGAGGCTCTTAATACGATTTGATTTTGTAACTAGCTGACGTGTAAAAAAAAAGAATGTATAAAAAAAAATAGGATCGAAAGGCGAGAAAAACAAAAAAAGAAAAAAGCTGGTTACAAAAACTTATTAGACACCATGAATCATGGTGTCTAATAAGTTATACCTACTATTGGATTTGAACCAATGACTCCTGCCGTATGAAAGCAATACTCTAACCACTGAGTTAAGTAGGTTATTTATCATCGTAAAGAGAAAGCAAGGGGGTACCTATCACATCGATAGGATTATAAATCTAATATTATTTCTAAGCAATACCAATAAACAACGAGATTCAAGAGATATAATGTTCGATCATATAATATTAATCTTGACAAGAAATTATCTACATGATAAGATAAAATGTGTATCACAAATACAAGGGCTATAGCTCAGTTAGGTAGAGCACCTCGTTTACACGTGCGCCAAAGTTTTTCAGAGGAGTTCATCACGCAATCAAACCAATTGATTGATCTTATTAATAAATCGATGTCTTACTCCACGACTTTTTTTTAGGAAAAAAAGAGGAGAACAACAGCCTGACATTAGGTCCTATTAAAGTACCCCGTTAGGTAGGGGATGAATAGAACCCATCATTGATTTGAGATATTGATAGGGTGAATACCTAGTCTACTTAATGCTAGGCAGAATGAGTATAAGGAACTCAAAAATGATCTTTTCGTCCTATGAACCTTAAGGTGTATCAAGTTTCATGTTTGATTTTTTAATCAGGATGTTAGAGACTATATTTAACTTAAGTTGATCTAGACCAAAAGCAAACCTACGTCAAGAGAACCCAACCCTCTTTTGAAACACTTTGGTAGTTCTTCTGTATTGTATTAGAATTAAAAAAAACCAATCAGAGTACTTGGAACCATTTCTTATCTTTTTTTTTAAGAAAAAATTTGGTAGACTAACTGATCCTTCTATCAGTTAATGAAAGAGCCCAATGCAAACAAAAATGCATGTTGGGTCTTTGAAAGAGTTCGAATCATTTTGATAATAATAAGTTCGAACTCTTTTACCGAGCAGGTCTACGGTTCGAGTCCGTATAGCCCTAACTAAGACTAAGAAATTGAGTCGAATAAATGACATTCAAATCAAAATAATTGGATAATTTTTTTTACTTAATTATTGTATTCTTTATTTCTAACTGGTTACGTTCAATTACTTGGTTCATAAAAAAAATTCCCATACCCCAAACCATAAGTCCTGGGGATCGTTCAGAATAAAACGGAAAACGGCATTTTATTTCAATAGATCCAACCACTATCTATCGATATATCTAGATAGATACTTGATAGGTTAGAATAAACTTTTTTTTCTTCATTAATTTTCATAGTCGTAAGTGGATTTTTTGTTTATACTTCATAATTTAAAAAACAAAGAAATTTTTCTACATTTTTTTGATTTCTAACTAAAACATAACCAAAATTTCATAAACAGAAATCCAAAAAATTACTAGTTATTAATAATATTACTATTATATTATATATTATTAATATTAGAAACTATTAGTAATAGAAACGTGGAAATATTAAGTAATTAAGTGTACTTAAAATAAGATTACAATTAATAAATCTTAAAATGAGACGTCTACCACAGCAACCAAACGAAAAAAAATCATTCGATTAACCTGAATTTTTGTTTTGACTCAAGAGTTCTATATCCCTTGCCCAATCCACTCCGACTGGAATTGACTAGGCGGGTATTTTTTTTTCCACATTCATAGGAGTTCGTCTATGTTTCTGCTTTACGAATATGATATTTTCTGGGCATTTTTAATAATATCAAGTGCTATTCCTGTTTTGGCATTTCTAATTTCCGGAGTTTTATCTCCAATTAGGAAGGGGCCGGAGAAACTTTCTAGTTATGAATCCGGTATAGAACCGATCGGGGATGCTTGGTTACAATTTAGAATCCGTTATTATATGTTTGCTCTAGTTTTTGTTGTTTTTGATGTTGAAACCGTTTTTCTGTATCCGTGGGCAATGAGTTTCGATGTACTGGGGGTATCTGCTTTTATAGAAGCTTTCATTTTCTTGCTTATCCTAATTCTTGGTTTAGTTTATGCATGGCGAAAGGGAGCATTGGAATGGTCTTAGTTCGTTTCCTGAATACTTGTAAAAAAAAAAAAAAAGTAAAAAAAAAACCATTGAAACAATTATGAATTCCATTAAGTTTCCCGTACTTGATCGAACAACAAAAAATTCAGTTATTTCAACTACGTTAAATGATCTTTCAAATTGGTCAAGACTTTCCAGCCTATGGCCGCTTCTTTATGGTACCAGTTGTTGTTTCATTGAATTTGCCTCATTAATAGGCTCCCGATTTGACTTTGATCGTTATGGGCTAGTACCAAGATCGAGTCCTAGACAGGCGGACCTTATTTTAACAGCAGGTACAGTAACAATGAAAATGGCTCCTTCCTTAGTGAGATTATATGAACAAATGCCTGAACCAAAGTATGTTATTGCTATGGGAGCCTGTACAATTACAGGGGGGATGTTCAGTACCGATTCTTATAGTACTGTTCGAGGAGTTGATAAGCTAATTCCTGTAGATGTC